TATACTATTTTTTTCCATTTTGTGGCTGATCCTCTTTCATATACAGCCAGGAGAGGAGCATTCTATGCTACAAAGAATGAAAAGGCTTTTAGAACTAATTTTCATTTTCTGTGCAATGCCCATGGCGATCTCTGAGTGTGTGATGTGCTACCATCAGGTTTTGATTATGCAATTGAAATGCAAAAAGGTTAAAAGCTCAGCTTTATTGGTCTTATCAGCAGTTTGCACTCTCCCAAAAGCTCTGTTAGAACAAATAGTTGATCACTTTTGGTCAAAGAACACTACATGTTTTAAGATGAGGAAGCTCATAGATGATACTCAAAGAGAAATTGACGTTTTTGAAATTTTATACCATATTTTTTCATGCCAATTTTATTAAATTTTTTATATTAAAAATTCTTCTTTGAATATGATTGAAATTTCAAAAAGTGCTCAAATGTACTTTATCTCTTGATTTGCTGGCAGAGACCTGGAAGGATAGATCTTTATAACAATATTCTCCACGGAAGAAACTACAGTGAAAAACTGGCTGTTCATATTTTTACACCCTCAAGTCTTCCATGCTGATTAAGTAGTTTTGAACTGGAGTGGACCCTATATTCTTGCAAAGGGCAAAGCAATCTAACCTGTCTTAGGAAGGACTGAAACGTGTGTGTGTGTATTTGTGAGTGTGTGTGTGTGTGTGTACATGTGCCTGTCTGTGAATAATTCTAGGCTAGTCAAGATGAGACTTCAATAAACATTCAGCATCAGAGAAACTTTAACTAGATTTTACCAGTCTTGAGGTTGTATCTTTGAGACTAGGCTAGAACTACTAAATGGGCTCTACTGTGGGGAATATGACATATAATATTTTCTCTCCCTCTCTGATTCAGATATGGGTAGAGACTAGCAGCTGATATAAGGAAAAAGACTGGACTATAAGAAACTAAAAATAGTTTTATTCTTTTTTATTTTTCAGGCTTTGATAGTCACACTAAAATGATTTTGCACTCATTTCAGAAATAGGATAGCACATGCTGAATTACAGGATTTACTAGCTTACGTTCATGTAAGACATCACATCCAACCTTAGATTTTAAAAGAACCGATGTCACATTGCATTGGATAGATTAAGCACTTGTGAAGCGATTGTGATCAAGTTAACCTCCCATGAAGCATGAGTATAAATCACTGTATTATTTTAGCAATGCTGACCTCACTACATTACATTCTACTCATGAAAATCAAGGTCTGTATGTGACAATGTACCAGCACCAAGGAAACCTAAGGGAAAAAATGAACTTCAGATTCCTTACAGAATCGGAGATCAAAAGATCTGTTCTATTAAACTTTAAACCAGAGAAATTCATCTGTCTGCCCCAGTGCCTAGTGTCAATCAATGACTCAGCTTTAGGTGGATTATGGTTAAGCCTGAATGGTCATGCAAGAGAGAAGTTCAGACAACCAGTCTCCAAAGAGATTGCTATTCTAAGACCCAACATAAAAGAAAAATATGCTTAGGTTTTTGCTGTAGAGCAAAGAAATCTTACTCACCTTTAAAGATGTAGTACAAGAAATGTATATCATATTTGTCATACCCACACACAAGGTACTCCTTAGGGATGTGACACAAATCAACAGGCATTTGTTTCATATATTTCTTTCCAAGGATTTGGGAGCTTTCCTTCTTCTTCATTTGCTGAATATAATTTAAACCAAAATTCTCACTGGCTATGGTGGTAAGCAAACTGGTGAGAAACTAAAGTCTCATTGCATGTTTCAACTTATATGATGATAACTAGTTTATCGAACAATTCCAACTCATTGGGATATGAAAAGGAAATAGTCCCCCCCCCCCAGTAACTTTTCCCCACCTGGTTGAATCCCCTCTGTCCAACCTAGTCAATTTCTTTGCAACAACTTTGTCAAATTCTATAACTTTTCCATTTACATCAATGTCATTTTTGTTATTAAAATTTAGGCCTATTTATTATGAAAGTTCCATATCATACCAGTTTCAATTTCATGGTTCACTTTAAAAATACAGGATCGGTAAGTACAACTGAGACTCATGTTTAATGTTACCATTTAAGGAGTTGATCATGCGGTACTAGTTGAAAAATACAAATAAAATAACATTTGAATTAAAAATATTTTTATTTTAGTCTTAACATGAAACTAATAAACTAGACTACGTCTGTATACATCCTACTGGTTAGTTGCAGTTTGATTTTCACTTATCTCTCAGAAGAAAATTTTAATTTGGAGGATACACGGACTAAAACAGCTTTAATTATTATTAGAGGAGAAATTTCAAGCTTCGTGACTTCTGTGACCATAAATACATATTAAATCTTTGAAATATGTTTAAAACTTCTTTCTTTAAACAGTGTGGAATGGATTTAGACTGATACCTATTTCTCCATATATATTATATATATCCATATGAAAAAATATATATTCACATATATCCATATAAACAGATTGAATCTATATGATATATCATATATAATTTATATTAAGTATAATATATAATATGTATTATATATGGTATATACTATATACCACTATGTAATATTTGTTATACAGAAATATAATATATATAATTTTATATTAAATGAATGGGACTGAAATGTCAGCCTTTAAGGTATGGTTCAATTTTATTAGAGACTCTTGGTACATCAAAATATTAAATTGTATGTATAAATATTTCAAAATCTGGATAACTTATTTGAAAGAAGAGAAAAAATTATTTTTCTCATGGAATGCTGGTTAAATATCAAAATTTTTATCCTAAATGCAAACACATCGATGAGATGCAAAGCATGTTGATCTGAGTTCTGGATCATGGGTTAGAGGAGGAAAATAGATGAAGGATAACTAGAGATCGTGGTGAGACTGAAGTGCCATCTGTGTATCTCCACAGCGTCTGTCATTGTGGCACCTGGGCGTGACAGGGAAATCTGCATGTGCACGTCCGTAGGACAGCTTTGAGGCTCAGAGTCCTGGTGACCTCAAAGATCCCAGAACTTGGAGTGGTTTTATGGATTTCCCTTTTCAGTTTGTGGCTCAGCTTCTAAATAGCTCATTAACAAATAGTAATCAAATAATAGCTTTCACTTGGGTGCTTACAATAAATAAAATGACCCTCTCAACTTTATATCCTCTACTCCAAGATAAAAAGTCCTAAATGCCAAAGTGGAAATATAGCTCCTGTTCATTGCCTTTTTACATGTTAGGAATGAAGCTGTGACTGATGTTTATAGCTAAGCCTTTTTATTAAATAACTGTCTTTCTTTGAGCAATGGAATAATTTGAAAGGGAATTTGTGTTCATTAAAGAACATTGCCTGACTTTCTTCTGAACACTCTTGTGTTCTCTTCTAAAAGAAAAGATGTTTCTTGGAAGCTCTGTCATCTTGATCTGATTCAGCATCCTAATTATTTTACTTTAATGGAAGAAACTCTGATAACAAATTCATAAATAAATGCTTATTAAAACAGCTCATTTATCAGCACCGCTTTATAATCAGTTCAATTGGGTTATGATTTAGATTATAATGCCTGCAGCATATTAATTTAGCTATTCAAGTACAATAATCAGTAACGACTTGTATTTGAATTTTGACCTTCCTTCTAATGATTTCATACCACTTTCAAAACCAAGCGCACTAATAACAGTATAGGTGAAGTTTATTTGGGCACTGTGTTATAAAAAAATCTACAATTTGACCTAGTAGTAAAGCAGAATAAAGTGTTATACATATATGATGTAATTATCTAATCGTATTTTTGTTTTTGTGGATTAACAGTTTTGAAAAAGGGATACAGCAAATGTTATTCCTTTAATATATAAGGGTTGATAAACTTTCTTAAGAACCTATTCTGGATCTACATGAAGGTTTAACAAGTGGAAATAAATAAGTTAGTGTACAGGAAAGGGATTTCGTTGTCAACTGAGACACAGAGAGGATAAAGACTTGTTTAGCAAGATAGCTTATCGGGCCTCATTATTCTAAACGTTTCGGTTTAATCCAGAGTCCTACTTTGTTCTTATTATCTGCATCTCTCCACAAATTGCATTTTTCAGTCTGTTTCATAATGGCTACTTTTTAAGTGCCGATCTTTCTCATAGCAGTGGGCTTATTTTACTAAATTGGTCAAATTATTTCATGTGAATGATTTTTATGAGGATTATAGTAAAGCATCTGCTTACACAAGGTCTGTCACATAGCATCTAGTATCTTCTGGATTCCCTTCCTCTATCTCTAGACATTGAGATGTGCTTAAACAGTTCACATGCTGAAGGTGCTGTGGGATGTTTGCTAGGAAATGCAAAGATGCATCAGGTGTTAACAACTTGTGGGGAAAGTGGACATGAAAAAGTCCTTAATGAGTGAAGAGACTTTCTTTTCTTTGTATAACCTAAAGCCTGGCACAGTGCCTGTTCAATAATTCATGCTCAAAATATTTATTAAATCAATGATTTCAATTTGGGAGAAATAAATAATAAGTACAATCATAACTAACATACAGAAAACCTTAAGATACTATATTTTATTTGAAGGAAGGTTCTGAAATGGTGGCATTTGTTTATACACACACACACACACACACACACACATAGTAATGTTGGTGTAGTTTTGTACTGGGAGTAGTTAGATTTGCTGTCACTCCAGCTGATTATGTGTACAAAAACTGAATGAGAGATGAATCTGGAATGGTAGGTTCAAGTCAGTCACTAGAAGGCCGCAAATGACCCTTGCATCCCTTCTAACTCCTAGCACATACCAGGCATGCTCTTGGCTCTGGGCTTTTTCCTAAATTTTTTTTCCTCCTGAAATTCTCTTTCTCAGATATCCTCATGACTCTTCCCTCACCTACATTAAGTTTCAGGTCAGCCCCCCCTCCTCTATTACTTAGCACTCCTCTACTCCTCTTCTTTCATTCCCCGTGGCTTTTATTATCATCTGAGGCACTGTAACTTTTACCTCTTTATTATCTTTTTCTTCTCATTAGAACTTGAGGTTCATGAAGACCAGGATATTTAATGGCACTGTCCACTGCTGTGTACAGTTTTTGGCACAAAGTAAGTACATAATAAATATCTGATGAATGTATGATTTGAATGAACATCTTATGGTCACCCTACTGGGAAAAAGCAATGGGCTGACCATGATGGTTTAGGCTAATCTGAATTCCTCTTTTGGGGCTACATCTTACTACCACCTGCATGAAATTAGGATTTTCTTAGGAAGAAAGATAGATGGTCATGTAGTTGGCAACCAATAGCAAGTAACATTCAGAGGAGGAAGAATGAAAGGTGGCATTTGCAAGACTTAAATATGTTTTCATTTTTAAAACTGTAAGCCAAAATATAATAATTTGTTTCTGTGCATATAAAAAGGTTCTGTTACTTTTTGTACTCTTCTATATTACGTTTATGAATTTTGGATTCATAGAAAGCAATAGAAATCTTCAATATATCAAGAATCCTAATTAAAATTCCAGCAGTCTTATATTATCAAAATCCCTATAGCATCTTGTGAAGGCAGCGTTTTTCATTGTTGCTTTTTCTCCATTGTTTCTTTTCCTCTGTATGCTGGTGATGTCAACAGAGAGTTTATCTGAACTTGCACACTTTCAAGTCAATTTTGGGTGAATGGAATAAGGGTCAGAAATAAAAGAAGAGAGATGATAAACCAAGAATTCAGGGAAAAAATACACAATTTGTTGGTAACATTGATTGATTGCATAGGAACTTTTCTCTCTTTTATATTTTTTTAGTTTTCTCCCCACATGGGATGGGGAGATGAGGAATGCACCATGAATATACCTGTATGCACATGATCCACTGCTTTAGCTCTGGACTCGATTATTATTCAACACTCGATTTGTTGTGACAATTTATAGCACAGAATGTGAGGACATTTTATTTGAGTTATGAAGGAAGCTTCATGTGGATATATAAAAGTGCATCTACACCCAAGTACATAAAGGATGGAATAATTCTTATATAAAAAAGATATAAAATAGGTTGTTTTGTATAATTACATTGGAAATATCCACAAGAGAAGCTTCCACTGTGGATCAAATATTATCTACACAGGAAATGAATTGGAAGACATATGTAACTCACTCTTTAGCTTCCAGGTGTTAGAAAATAAAACAATGATCTGCATATCCACAAAATAAAACAAAGCAAGACGAAAACTAAACGAACTCCTCACATGTCTTTGTCTTCAACAGAGATGGTGACCAGTACTACCTAGGAAATATCAATAGTCAAATAACAATATCTTTTATAATGTGGGATTGTCTTGAACATTTACTGCAGAAGATTTGTGGGTGTCGTGGAAGAAACAGATCACAAAACTCCCTTGTGAGAGGGAAAGGGGCACTAAACAGAGGTTAGGTACCACATTTGTGGGAAGGAGGTATCTAGTGGCAAGCATTTGCAGAGCAAAAAAGAGGAAAATAAAATTTATTTTAAAATGTAGTTGATAACAACATGTGAATTGTTAGTAATTGCACATCAAGATGCAAGTAATTCACTTCAATTATTTGTAAATGCCTTGATAAAAGGTTGGCATGGAGCAGAACTGTCATTCACAAATACGAAACACCTGCATAATGCAAAATTTGGACTGTAGATACCAAGACCAAATTCTAACCACATATGCCAACATTAACATATTTATTGGTTAGAAAATATTGAAATTTAATTTTTAAATCCCAATATATATTATTTGAAAAAGTTTCAATTTTATGCAAATATGCTTGAAACAAAATCAAACAAAATCAAATCAAAATCAAATCTTTTAGAGATTGCAGTGATAGTAGATAGTTATAATAGAAGTCTAACAGATTTTCCTTTTTACCTTTAGATAATTTATACCCAATACAGGTATACATACTATTAATATATGTATGTATGTGTGTGTGCATATATATGTTCGTGTGTATATATTTTTCTATCTAAAATTTACCATAAAGAAACTGGAAGACCATAGGAAGACCTAGGAGGTTTATATTCACCTAACATTGAAAGGCTAATCTCAAAGGGATCCACCTCCACTCTGTTCTATTAGGCAGCACCCAGTTTTTTTCTGCTGAAACCCATGATGTGTTATTCTAAACATTTGCCACAGACTTTGGCAAATGCACCATGATGGGTTACTGTGTTCCTTGTAGTTTCCTGGATAAATGAGATTAACATATGTGAGATAGGAATCAAGTTTTCTTAAAGAAAGTACGTTACTTGTTAAATAAGATGTTGAATAAGAACCACTCTCTTTTGAAGAGAGAGAGAAAGATGAATCTCGAAACAAGGAAGCAACAACTAGGTTATGTGATATTTATGTATGGGTGATGCAATTTTTAACAATCTTCTCTGTGTAGTCTAAGAAGTGTACTACTTAACTCCATCTTATATTTATTTTTCTCTATATTATAGTTCCTCTTGCCCCAGTCTTTAATGAAGTTCTATTACCTTTAAAATAGTTTTGGATTGAGGGCAGTAAAAGAAGTATGAGCTTTCTGGCATCTGTCTTTGTAGAGGCAACTGTAGTTGCATTATATTTAAGGAGGGGAGAGGTGCCAGAATCCTAGGGAGTGAGTGGTCCTCAGTGTGGTTAAGAGTGACAGGTAATTGCCATGTCAGAGTGGAGAACAAGGCTGCATTATGGACTCTTCCAGCAGAGGACATGAGATAAGATATACTGTGAGCCTTTAAAAAAGTATCAGATAATTGGATTTGCATGTATTTATCAGTGTTTCCCACCCCAAAAGCTTTAGAGAATTAATACATCTTCTCAGGTATTCTAACAAGGAAACTAAGTAGTTTGGTATTAATAAACAATTTGTTTTATTTTAAATATCGTACATCAGAGAAGCAGAGAAGCAGAACCACAATGGGTAATATAAAATAAGGCATTTATTATAGGGGTTGACCATACACATTGTATTTGTTACGCATTCTATTGAAGGCTGCTGTTTCTGCTGCTAGGGTTGAGTCTGAGGTTGCCAGAACAGGCAGGTGGAAAAGAATGACAGATGTGAAATGGGGAAAGCAATGGCAAATTGGAAACACAACGTCTCTCATCCTTACTGATGCAGGTGCCTACAGGATAAATGGATGCTCTTGACCATGAAGCTGCAATATTCACCTGGCCCAGTTGCTGGAGAAGCTGAAAGGGGAGATCTGGAAGGAGCTGGGGGAGTTTGGGGCCTACTCCAACAACAGGGTAAACCAGGAGATCAGCAACAACAGGCATAAGCTGCAAAAGCTCCTGAACTCACACTTTCTAGAATTCACCTTTCTATAACAAATGTGAGTGCTGCTTTCCTGTCATCTTTTAATTATATGCAGATTTCAAATATATGCAGATTCCAAGTTCCAATTCTAACTTGGAAAACTATATGGAACACAAATGTGGGAAATGGAGTTTCAGTTAAGCCAAACTAACACACAAGAAAGCAACAATATTTCATGTAATTTTGTAATTTTAATGTATGTGTCCTTTAAATTGTGGACTTTGAATTAATAATGAAATTTCAGGTTGTGGAATGTTATCTTATGATTTTGAATACATCCTAGAACTTTACTACGAGTATTATATTCTATATACTAACAACATATAATGCTCATTGTATAGAATAGTTTTAGTGATTCCAAATATCTTTTATTTTTATAAAAGCTAGAATTTTAATGTTCTTTCAAGTATCATTACTAATAACAACATATACCAAGTAAGAAGATCTCGATGATAATTAAAATTAAAATTCTGGTATCTGGATCAGGAAGCTCAGTTAAGAAAAACTTAACGAGAAAAAAAGATACCTTTCCAGAGATGTGTATTAGGTTTCATGTTAAGTTAAAAGAAAGGGATAATTTATGGCATATCTGAAACTAAATATCAAATACAGTGTTAAATACTAAAAACAAGTTCCAAATACAATGCGTGGTATATAGTAAGAAGTCTACCAAAGGAAGAAGCAACGGATTTGATGATGTTGATGAAGAAGATTATGATGATGATGATATAAGTATACAAGAAGTGGTAATAAACAGAGGAAAAACATCAACCACTGTTTTCAAGGCATGAATGAATAGCAGTCCTCATAGAAAACTGGAAAAATCATGTATTTATTGGCAATAATGATGCATGCATCTTGTTGTAATATTAAAGTGTGACCTATTCTCTGAATGTGTCTTAATATCTCCATCCCATAAGTTACTCCTTTGTGAGGGCATCATACCCTGTCATTAGCTTATCTATCAATTGTCAATGACCTTTGTACAATTAAGGGATAATTTGGTTTTTTTTTTTTTTTTTTTTGAGACAGTTTTTTTTGTTGTTGCCTAGGCTAGAGTGAGTGCCATGGCATCAGCCTAGCTCTCAGCAACCTCGAACTACTGGGCGCAAGCAATTCTGCTGCCTCAGCCTCCTGAGTAGCTGGGACTACAGGCATGCACCACCATGCGTAGCTAATTTTTTCTATATATATTAGTTGGTCAATTAATTTCTTTCTATTTATAGTAGAGATGGGGTCTCGTTCTTGCTCAGGCTGGTTTCAAACTCCTGTTCTTGAGCAATCCTCCTGCCTCGGCCTCCCAGAGTGCTAGGATTACAGGCGTGAGCCACCGTGCTCAGCCAATTAAGGGATAACTTGGCTTTCTGGCTTGCATGGAGGAAAGCATGACAGCTTTGGGTAGCAAGAACCACCTTTATTCAGAAAAGAACTATAGACATGGCAGAGTTTTTGGTTTCATGGACTGAGCACTATAGGATGTATCTGAATGACTATTTTACTCTTGTCATTAATGATGCTAAATAAAAACTTTTTGGAAATAGTGACAGAGGCAAGGAAGTTGCAGGATATTGCCCAGAGCCATTTTGTTTTGAAAGTGTGAAAGAAGTGCACTGCGTTATTTCTATTTGGTTTGATTTTTAAACTACACAATGCCACTTTTCCCACTGTTGTTCAGAGGGATGTTCACCAGCATATCAGTTCTCCTGGGCACATGGTTAACTTGTACTTTATCACTCCCCACCCCAGTGCCTACCACAATTGAAGTCAGTTAGACACCACTATTGACCTGCTGTGGCCAAGAAAATAAGAGCAGAAGTGTGCTACCAGAAGTTTCTGGTAGAAGTATTTAACTATAGGCACTTGACTCTAAACTTTCCTTCCCCGGTGCAGTGATTACAGTGGCCAGTGCTGTGATGGAGCCTCCATGAGCATGGGATGCTGAGTGACAACAACAAGCTGAACTTTAATGCGCCATTTGAGCATTCGAGATGAGGGAGACATAAAGATTTTTTGTATGTGTGCGAGAAGCCACTGAGAATAGGGTAGTGTTTGTTACTGCAGCCTGACAGAGCCTACCCTGACTAGTACAGATGGTGGCCTGGAGTGCTTATATACCAGAAAAGAAGATTCCAGAATGTGCAGTATAAAGTCACTCAGTCACTTATCATAAAATTCATACAGTGAGAAGAAGCCTCAGATCCACAGATGGTGGGCCAAACTCCTTGGGTGGTTGGTATTGAGAGGACAAGTGTTAAGCCTGGGGAGAATGTGTGGGCAGCCATCTGTCTTTGGCCAAGTGAACCTGCTAATGTTCCAGGTCTTTAGGCAAAAGCAGAAAAGGGATGACAGCTTTCAGCCCAACAGTTAACTCAGGATGCCAAACTTTTTTGCTCTGTGCCGTATTTTTTTAAGAAGCCCCCAGATCCTCAGTTCTCAATCATCAACAAATAACTACATGCAAGCACACATTTATGTTTATTCTACTTCTTGCAATAAATAATTTGAGGCACTTGATTGGCCTGAGCATGGATGTGTTTGGTGAATCATATGCACTGTAAGCATAATGATGAAAAATACTGAACATACTCAATTTATTTCATATTAAAAGATACAAAACATTTGAGACTTACCTAAACACTGCTTGATATAAACTGGGCTACTATACATATTCAAAATATGTTTCTCTTTATTGGGAAAAATATCAATTAAAAATAATTATTAATTGAGAAACTGCTAGTGACTAGTGCTTTATAATTATTGCCCAGATATTTAGAATGTTTATTGATTCTATGATAATGGAATCTTTAGGATAACGTGTGTTTAACTTTTTCAGACTAAATAGTGTGTTACATATGAGGTAGTGCAAGAAGGTCACTAAGCCTGGTCCATGATTACTTTACCAGCCCACTTATTTAAAATTATCTGTTGCATCCTATAGTTTGATTAGGGAAGAGAGGTTTTTTTAATTTCTCAAAGGCAAGTTAAAAGATCTCATATAACTTTTATTCTAATACCTGTGTCAAGAACAGCTTAATGTCAAAATCAATAAATATTTATTATGAGCACATTACGTGTCAAACACTGTGCTAAATTCAAAGCCGTAGTGAAAAGCGCAAAGAGCTGTCTAAGTATATTTTACAGCACACATTAAAATGGATATTAAGCAAATAATTACACAAATGATTTGTTATGGTTCTGGTAAGTGCTACAAAGGAGAAATTTAAGCTATTGTAAAAGTAGACAATAGAAAGATATAATCTTATCTGAGGTCAGGGAAATTTTTGTAAATGAATAAGATCTAGGTTCAAAGAGAAACTTGAAAGATAGGTAGGAAAAAGGGAAAGGAACAGAGGAAGAATCCTCCAGACAGTGAGTAATGGGCAGTGGCGTGATGCATTCCAGTCCAGACTTCACCACTATCTGATATATACCTAAAAGGGAATTCAGCTTGTATCCCGATATCTATCAAAATAAAAAATAGAAAAGGAAATAAAATGAGGGCAACTGTACAAGAAAAAGAGAAAGCAGAGAGAACAGTGGAAACAGACTGTTATGGAAATAGACTTTTGTGTGTTGTTCACACACACACACACACACACACACACACACACACACACACATGGGGTAGTACCCCTTTATCTGCTGTTTCACTTTCCACAGTTTCAGTTACCCAGTGGCAACTGCAATCAGAAAATATTAAATGCAAAATTCCAGAAATAAACAACTCATACATTGTAAATTGTGCACTCTTCTGAGTACTGTGATGAAATCTGTCCTCTCAGTGATCAGTGCTTGTGTTCAAGGAATCCTTATTTTATTTCATAATGGCCTGAAAGTGCAAGAGTAGCGATGCTGGCAATTCAGAATGCCAAAGAGAAACCATAAAGCACTTTTCCTTTCAGTGAAAAGGTGAAAGTTCTTGACTGAATAAGACATAAAAAAAACAAAATCTTGTTCTTGTGCCAAGGTTGCTAAGATCCATGGTGAGAACGAATCTTTTTCTGTGAAATTGTGAAGAAGGAAAAAGAAGGTTATGCTATCTTTGCTGTCACACCTCAAATTGCAAAAGTTATGGCCACAGTGCATGATAAGTGTTTAGTTAAGATGGAAAAGATATTAAATTTGTGGAAGGAAGACATGAATACAAATGTGTTCTGATTGATGGAAATCAGGTTTGCTACTATTCGTGAGTTTAGGCATCCACTAAGTGTCTTGAAAAGTGTCAGAGGGGAACAACTGTGTATAATATATAATATGTATTGTATGAGTGACCAAGCTCCCTCTATGGAGAACATTTGGAATAAGAAAAAGAACTTTCTACAGGACCTAGAACTGAGTTCTGATGAATTCCAATATTTAAAGTTGGAGGAAGTTGACAAAATGATGCAGGAGGAACCATGAGTGAAAGAAGAAGAAAACAAAAGAATTTGCAGTGTTACAACAAGCAAAGAAAGAGTCTTTCAAGAAGGGGGAGCGGTGGCTCCCACCCCTCTAAAGCTGATTGCTGTCTCACAAGAATAGAGACACTATGCTGTGAGATCTTCTGATCTATGAAAAAGAAACTCAAATCATCTGAGATCCCTCAATTTTTAAATCAAGGCATAACTTAAAACTGTACAAACTCTGTCAATGGGCTAGAAATAAAATCACTTCACAAACTCTGTGTTACGCCAACATTTATAACCAATAGTGATAACTATTTGGTTCAATCAGACATCTATTAATAGAACATTAGCAAAATATTCTGCCGCAATTTTTAATTTAGCAGTCATTGAAATATTGTACAGCTGTAAACAGAGACATACTGAAAAGAGAGTCCATAGAAGTTTTACAATGAAAAGTATTCAATTCAATACTTATGGTTACAGTATCTATACGGAGTATGAGAGCAACAAATGTAGTCATAGTCTTAAGACCAGGGCATGGGCAATAGGCCCTGTTATACATTATTTTCTTATTTGCTCTGCTCTATGCATAAAAGAAAAACCTCTTTCATATTCCCTGATTCTGATTTCTTCAAACATTCTCCTACAGAAAAATTGGTTGACATCCTCTATGATATAATTGTTCTCTCCACCACTATGTGGTCAGCACTATTATGCACAGCCTGCATTTCTACAAGGATGTACTCTAAGGGAACATTGTAGAAAAATACTCTCAGATCCAGAGCTGCCGTGTCTGTTGATGGCACTAGGACGGTGCAGTTGTCTCAACTGAACCACGACCCCTTCTTTGGAAGTCACAAATCCTTTGCTTTATTTGACACTGAACTGGTGGCTTTGTATACAAAC